GTATACTAATCCTTTGTTGGTAATGTGTGTTTCAAATATCATTTCACAATCATGATTTGTCTTTTCACTTTATTGTACTCTTTCAGGTCTGGTTTCTTTCACTCAACATAATGTTTTTGAATTCATTCATGTTCCTGTGTATAACAGCAGTTTATTCTTTTTGATTGCCAAGTAGTATTTCAGTGGCTATCATTCTGCTGACAGACGTTTGAGTTGTTTCTAGATTCAAGCTATTATGGATAAAGATGCTATGAACATTCATATATAAGTCTTTGAGTAGCCATTGTTGCTACTTTCTTCCAGTCTGGGGCTTTTATTTTCATTTTCTTAACAGTGTCTTTCAAAGAACAGAAGATTTTCATTTTGATATAATCTTTTTTTTTTCTTGTATGGTTCATGCTTTTTGCATCCTATATAAAGAATCTGCCTACTCAAGGGTCATGAAGATTTTTCTTTTAAGTTTTTTACATTTAGTTCTATAATCCATTTTGAGTTATTTTTTTCTACATAATGCAAGGTAAGGATTGAGTCACTTTATTTTATTTTTGCATATGAATGTCCCATTGTTCCAGCATCATTTAGTAAAAAGACTATCCTATCTCCAGTTGAATTATCTTGGCACCTTTGTTAAAATCACTGGCCATATACATGTGGATCTATTTCTGGACTCTCTATCCTGTTCCACTGATCTATATGTCTGCCCTTATGCCAATACCACACTGTCTTGATTGCTATACCTTTATACTAAGTCTTGACATCCAGTAGTTCTTTATTTTAGTTATTCTAGGTCCTTTGCTTTTCCATACATATTTTAGAATCAGCTTGTCAATTTTTACAAAAAAACTCCAGATTGAGAAACATGAACAAATTTGGAGGTATAACACTACCAAATTTCAAGACTAACTACAAAGCTATAATAACTAGGACACTGTGAAGTTGACATAAGAATATACAAATAGATAAGGAACTATTTGAATAGAGTCCAGAAAGATGCACATATATACTGCCAATTAATTTTTACCGAAGTACTAATGCAAATCAATGTGAAAATAAATGTATTTTCAACAAATGGTACTGGAACTGGATAAAAATTAAAGATAGAGAAAACTACACCTTGTTCCCTATCTCACTCTGTGCCCCAAAATCTATAGGCCATAGACCTAAATGTAAAAGCTAAAATTATAAGGCTCATAGGAGAAAAAATAGAAGAAAAAATTTTGCAACCTCAAGTTAAAAAGTGAAAAAAGCACATCACAGACTTAGGACTCTAATCAGAATCTATGAAGACTACTTACAACCCAGCAATAAAAATACAAGCATCTTGATTTAAAATGAGCAAAAGAATTGAAAAGATGATTCACAAAAGAAGATATACATATGAGCATTAGTATATGAAAAGGTGCTCAATACCATTAGTTGCAGGGAAATGCAAAATTAAAACCTCGGTGAGATACCATTTCATACCTATTAGAACTGGGAATCCCCATCAACTACCGACGAGGATGTGGATCAAGTGGAAGTCTCATTTATTGCTAGCAGGAGTATAAAATGGTACAACTAATTTGGAAAACTTTGGAAATTTCGAATAAAGTTAACCATACATCTATTCTATGAACCAGCCGTTCCACTCCTAGTTTTATTCCCAATAGAAGCAAAAGCATATAGGCACAATAAGTCCTGTACTAGAATGTTTATCAGCAGCTTTATTCATAATAACCCCAAACTAGAAACAACCCAAATGTCCATCAACAGGAGAATAAACAAACTGTGGAAAATTCACATAATGGGTAACTATTCTGCAATAAAAAGGAATGAACTGATGATACACATGACAACATGGATGAATCTCAAAAACAATACGTGGAATTCAATGAAGGCAGTCAAAAGGTACAAACTTCCAGTTATAAGATAAATAAGTGAGCTTCCCTGGTGGCGCAGTGGTTAAGAATCCGCCTGCCAATGCAGGGGACACCGGTTCGAGCCCTTGTCCGGGAAGATTCCACATGCCGTGGAGCAACTAAGCCCATGTGCCACAACTACTGAGCCTGCACTCTAGAACCCACAAGCCACAATTACTGAACCTGCATGCCACAACTACTGAAGCTCACGTGCCTAGAGCCCATGCTCCAAGACAAGAGAAGCCACCTCAATGAGAAGCCTGCGTACCCCAACGAAGAGTAGCCCCCGCTCGCCACAACTAGAGAAAGCCCGCGCGTAGCAACAAAGACCCAACACAGCCAAAATAAATAAATAAATGAATAAAATAAATACATTTTTGAAAAAAGATAAATAAGTACTAGGGATGTAATGTACAACATATGTATAATTAACACTGTTGTATGCTATATATGAAAGTTGTTGAGAGCTAATCGTTAGAGTTCTCACAAAGAAAACTATTTTGCTATTTCTTTAATTTTGTGTTTATATGAGATGATGGATGTTCACTAAACTTACTGTGGTAATCATTTCATGATGTATATAGGTCAAATCATTATGCTGTATCCCTTAAACTTACACAGTGCTATATGCCAATTATATCTCAATAAAACTGAAAGAAAAAAGAAGACAAAAACTTCCCCTACCTATGTGGAAGGTAGACCCAAAAGAACACTTACTGTGTGATTCCATTAATGTGAGATGCAATAACCTGCAAATCTAATCTGATAGTAAACAGAACAAAGGTTGCCTCTGGGAGGGGATGATAGAAGGGAATATAAGGGAACATCCTGGATTGATGGAAATGTTCTCTATCATGATTTGGGTGATGTTAGCATGGGTATACATTTGTTAAAACTCATAAAATTGTACAGTGCGATGTGTGCATTGTACTATGAATAAATTATACCTCAATAAAGAAAATAATATAGAAATGCATTGAGATAATACAGTCATTCATCAATATAAACTTTTAACCTTACCAATTTTAAAATATGAATAGAGGGGCTTCCCTGGTGGCGCAGTGGTTGAGAGTCCGCCTGCCGGTGCAGGGGACACGGGTTCGTGCCCCAGTCCGGGAAGATCCCACATGCCGCGGAGCGGCTGGGCCCGTGAGCCATGGCCACTGAGCCTGCGCGTCTGGAGCCTGTGCTCCGCAATGGGAGAGGCCACAGCAGTGAGAAGCCCGCGTACCGCAAAAAAAAGGGAGAGAAGGAAGGAAGGAAGGAAGGAAGGAAGGAAGGAAGAAAGAATAGAGAAGGAAGCAATGTTATACAGCAAAGTAGGAATAAAGAAGAATTTAGTCTAAATAAGAAATGACTTTAAAAACTTATATTCATAACAATCCAGAAATAAAGCTCCAGATAATATCAACTGAATTAGTTAGAGTTTTTTCTGTGAGCAAGTGAGACTGAAGATGATGGTGGCTTAATTAAAAGAGAAGTTTATTTCTCTCTTGCATACAGAGCTGTGATGGCAGCCCTATAAATTCCAAGGAGTCAAGCTCCTTCTGAATTTCTGTTCCATACCCTTAACATGTCCCAAGATAGCTGCGCAAGCTCCAGTCACCATGTATACATTCTAGCCGGGAAAGAAGAAGGGGATGAAGGGCTTGTTCTCCTTTTAAGGATATTTTCCAAAATTCATACCCAACATTTCTGTTTATACTTTATTGGCCAGAATTTATTGCCAAACTTAGATACGTGGGAAGGTTGGAAATGTACTCTTTATTCTGATCCACTATATGCCCAGAAGGAAGGGGATGAAAGGTGCCACAAGAGAGGATTATCAAGCTTTACCCCAGTCCACTTTTTTATTCACCTAACTATTCACTTGCACCTCTTCCCATATGCAAAATGAGCTAATCCTCTCCTGAAAAAAACGGCAACCTCTAACTTTCACAAAAGAAATCAAGGAAAAGTAAAGTGCTCTGCATCATGACAAAGAGCTAATTTGGGACGATATGGTAATGAAGGAAATGAGCCAGCACAGACACAGTAAGCACCCCAACCTGTCCCCTCCCTGAGTCTCAGTGCCGTTCTCCATAGCCTGGCCAGGCAGTCTGGTGCTCAAGACTCTATTTACCAAGAAGGGGAGCTGCAGAAACACACAGAAAAAGGGCTTGATGTTTGGGCCCAATGCCCTGACCCCTCTCTTGCTTCCAGTCTCTCTCACTTCCTCCTTCCCAGATGCATTGGCTAGCAAATTCATCCACAAAGTTCCCTGCAGAGATGCTAATGGCTATGAGGAACACAGCAGCAGGACCCAACTGCTAAAGCCATCTGTCAACTCACATCACATCACATCACTCCAGGGTTTAAAAAGGATCACAAACACTTTCCTAAGCTAAATGTAAGTTCTCTTCAGTGATCCCAGACCAGTAGAGAACACACACACCAGAACACACACACACGACTCTTCAAACATTTACTCAGTTGACATCAGAAATCTCTGCACTCCTTGACGCCTCAACACAACTTGGAGTGAGCCTGGATGTGGCCACTGGAGCACGGGGAAGGGGGTTCCTAGACTGAGTTGCCCCAGGAGGGCTTGTGTGGCAGAGGCTGGACACTCACAGATGCATCCGCACTGGGCAGCAGGGGACCTTCTCCCAACCCAGACAGCTGAGTCAGATGTGGACATGGTGATGCCTCCTCACTCTCTCCCAACAATCACCAAGCGGACTGGTTTGATAAAGTGTCAGGTCTAACACTGTTTCACCGGTGATGATGTCCCTTCTTTGCTAGATGTTCTCCAAGATGTGGCTGAAGCATCATGAAGCACCACCTGGCAGGTCACTGGCCATCCAGCTGGGATGGTTTCACACACTTCTTCCCGGCAGGCAGAGCACAGCCAAGGTGTAGGTGTGGATGAGGCAGGTTCCTGGATCACCAGGCCAGGAAACTTCCAGGGTTCCTTTCCTGCTGCCACTCTCTGTCCTGTGGATCTCCACAGGGTCAGTAGATCCCAAACGAAATTGAGGAAAGGGCATCGAGTAGAAGTGGGAGGTCAGAGGCAGGGCTAGTGTGAGACTCAGAAACAGAAGGGGGAGTGGGCCAGGGTGATCACAGGGTCGCCAGGATGCCCAGAGGCAGCACCAGACACACCAGTAGGATGAGGAGCACCACTGGATACCAAGAGGTATCCTGGTTCACCACTGCAACTAGCCACTTAGTGTAGAAGGCAGTATCCGTATAGACTCCAGGTGAAATTTTACAACCACAGCTGACACCCCAGCTCACAATCCCTATCTGGACCCATGTGGTATTATATTGACAGACCAGAGGGTCCCCAGAATCTCCCTGGAAAAAGAGAAAGAAACAAACCGCAGGAATGGAAGAGCACCCACTTCAGGGCAGGCTGATTGCACTGCAAGGCGCTGAAAGACAGGCACCTGTGGGCCTTCCCCAGCCATCTCCCAGGCCCAGATTTCTTGATTTTGAGAACTGAGAACTGAATAGTCAATTGGAAAACTTTAGTATCCTCTGAGGATACTATGACTGGTCATTTCCTATACCACAGTGGTTGTTAAACACTTTGAATATCACCTTTGCATGGAGCCTCCCAAATCCTTACACCTAGCCTAAAGTTTCTCTAGAGCTCCTGACCATATAACCAGCTCCCTCCATATTCTAAGCTACACTCTCAGACATCCCACAAAGTCACCCCAGCTCATGCAAACACTGCACATCCTTTGCTAAAACAGCTCTGGTGGCCCCCCATCTACCAGCTCAGTCAGAAACTCATAGAGTCCTCCTCAAGCTCTCCCTCACCCGCACCCTCACATGCAGTCAGTCACCAAGAACTGATGACTCAACCTCAAACACAACCCCTTCACCTCCCCACCAGCCCAGGTCCTGCCTGGGGCTCAACACCATTGCCTACATGGTGAAAACAAACTCCTGGCCTACAGTCCTGCATAGACAGGAACGAGAAACATAGCACAGCGTTGCAGGCCACACATATTCTGATTCCAATCACCTTCTCGGGCCATATTTTTTTTTTTTTTTTTTTTTTTTTTTTTTTGCGGTATGCGGGCCTCTCACTGTTGTGGCCTCTCCCGTTGCAGAGCACAGGCTCCGGACACACAGGCTCAGCGGCCATGGCTCACAGGCCCAGCCACTCCGCGGCATGTGGGATCTTCCCGGACCGGGGCACGAACCCGTGTCCCCTGCATCGGCAGGCGGACTCTCAACCACTGTGCCACTTGGGCAGCCCCTCTGGCCATATCTGCCACCTCATTGCTCCAGACCTGAAACACATTCCCTAAACATGACACGTTCTTCAGAACTCTGAGCCTCTGTACTTGCTGTTCCCTCTCCCAACAGTGATGTTCTCCTCTTTCCAAGACTCCAAATACTCATCCTCTGAGACCTGGCTCAGATGCCCCCTGCTCAGAAAGGCCGCTTGGTGCAAAGGGGAGACTGTGGGCCCAGGCACTCCCAGGGGGACCTTGAACTTATGTCTTTTAGGGACCACATCTGTATAATATGTATAATTATGTTGCGGGGTTGTGAGCTGGGTAACTGAGCTAATGTGGTGAATGCTCACACTGGCACAGTAAGTTGCCATAGAAGGAACTCAATTATAGGAACTTACATTATTATCATCATCACCCCCAACTTCACCACACCCTGGCAGCACGCCCAGGATGCGAGGGCTGCTCCCTATTGAAGGAACGGGCCAGGCCAGCTCAGGGGCATCCTGAGGGGCTCTCCCCTGAATCTCCTTAATTAAAGGCTGAAAGAGGAGGGGGCAAATAACCCAGGCCCCGCCACTGGGGAATGAGGAAACTTTGAGGGGACAACCTCAGTGCGGAGGTGGCAAGAGACCCATGAACTTACCTGACAAGAATCGTTTCCTACACTATTATAGCCACAGATCATTCCTTCCAGTACTACATCCTTATCTGTCGGCATGGCCTTCGGGACCATCCCATTACATTCTTCATAGTAGATGATATATTGGTCCATCTCCCAGAGAAAGACTGAGACAAATGGGCCACCTACAAGCAAAGAAACTCAGCAGTGGGTAGATCTGCACAGGTGGACAGTAAGCCCCCAAACACCTTGAATCCCCCTTGAAGAAGGCAGCACAGAGGATATTGTCCCCATTTTTTTTTTTTTTTTTTTTTTGCAGTACATGGGCCTCTCACTGTTGTGGCCTCTCCCCGTTGCGGAGCACAGGACGCGCAGGCCATGGCTGATGGGCCCAGCCGCTCCGCGGCACGTGGGATCTTCCCAGACAGGGGCAAGAACCCGTGTCCCCTGCGTCGGAAGGCAGACTCTCAACCACTGCACCACCAGGGAAGCCCTACTGTCCCCATTTGACAACGGAGAAAACTGAAGCCCAAAGTTGACATGGGGAGAAGAGAAGGTAGGAACCAAAACCAGGACAAGAGAAAGAAGAACAGATCAGGACAGGAAGAGGCAAGGCCTTACCAGCCTGAGAAATGATAACCAAGCATCTGTCACTCTGTGCATCAATAGTAATAATGAAAGGTGTCCAGTGCATCAGCAAAGTGTCTTTACTTTAAAGCAGAATCACAGACTCTCAGACAGGTAGTACCCAAAGGAACAATCCAGCCTCTTCCCAGAGATAGGAGGCCCTATGGCCTCACCAACTGGGGCCCACGGGCTCTGCCAACATTCCCAAGGACAGGAAAGTCCCTGGGCACCAAGGCAGGTACTTCCAGCGAGGGACAGCTCTGCCTGGCAGACAGCTCATCACCCCCTGAGCAGAAATCCACCCTGGAGAGAACAGAGCAGCTGGCTCTGTCCCCAGGGAACCTAAAAATGCCCCCAAACTAGCCAGGCACAGTTCCCCACAAATCTGCAGGAGACTTCACCCATGTATTTCTTCTCCTGAGCAGCTCTAGGTCCCAGGACTAGTGCCTTGCTTAAACGGCTGCCATCAAATATTTGTGTGGCAACAAAAGATCTCAACCAATTTCTGGGCTCAAGCCAATCGGGAACCATTAGCCTGGCTGCCCCCTAACCCACCTGCCAGGTGGTGTGCTTCCCTACCCCTCCCTTTAGTGTTGTTGCCTACTCCAGGGATAAGGCTGCCTCCCTCTGCCCAAGGTTACTTCCTGCCTCACAGTCTCACCGAATTCTTGTTGCTTGCCCCACCCAGTCACCCAGCACCTGGTCCCAGCTTCCACCTGGAAAGTCTTCTCGGGGATGCATATAGGCTGGATGACCCCAGTGAAATTTACAGGGTAGAAGAGCCGGAGAAGAGCAAGGTCATATTTAACAGTTCCACGTGTTGAGAACTGAGGGTGAACAACGACTCGGCTGATAGGAACCACCAACCCTGAGATTTCACCATAGACACTCCGATCTCCCATCATGACACTGCAGCGGTTAACAGCTGTGGGAGGAGGACATGTCCCTCATAGAGACCCTGGGAAGCATCCCTTGTGCCTTTCCACACATATCAGCTGTTTCCCAATGTGGCCCCGACCTCTCTCACCACTCTCGCTACAACCCTATCACCAAAAAACCCTCCTAATGACTCTCAAAATTGGTTTGCTCGTTAGAGGGGTGGGATGGGGAGGGTGGGAGGGAGGGAGATGCAAGAGGGAAGAGATATGGGAAGATATGTATATGTATAACTGATTCACTTTGTTATAAAGCAGAAACTAACACACCATTGTAAAGCAATTATACTCCAATAAAGATGTAAAAAAAAAAAATTGGTTTGCTCTCCCAAACAACTGGTTTTGTTCACCAAACTAGTACCCCTAGTAACAAAACTACCAGTGCAGAATCCCTTCCATTTTTATTGTGTGTGCTTTGGTTTGGGTTGGGTTTTTATCAACTTGCAGGGCAGCAGAAACTAGTGGGTATCTGAGGAGGGCAGGACTGATTCCAGAACTCTCACATCTCCACTTGTCATTGCTCACCTTAAAATACAGTGGGCTGCAGTCAGCGGCCACTGAGCTGTGATGAGGGAACCTCCGCACACGTCTGCCACTGACCCTCAGGCTCACCTGCCAGGGCCACTTCCCTTCTTTCACTCTGATTTCCTCCCACGATTTTCAGGAACACTTGGCCACACGATGGGGTGAGGACAGGGTAGCAAGGAGAACCTCAAAGAAACAGGCCCTGTCTCCCTGGAGCCCCTCGGACAGCCGAGAAGGCCATGTCCTCCTAGGCTCCAGGGCAGCGCTTCCAAGTCTGCAGGCCATGGACCCACAGACGAAGCATGTCTCCCTCAGGCTCCACAGCAGGGCTGCGCTAATTCAGACCCTGGTCCCCTCAAACTCCCAGGGAGCACCGGCCCCCACCCTGGCGCCTCAGCCCGCCCCTCCAGAAGGCCAATGCGAAGAGTCACCTGACCTAAACTCCACCAACTTGGGGGCTCCCGGAGCCCCAGGGGACCCGGGGTTCCCAGGGGCTCCCTGAGCCCCCTCCAGGGTTTGGTTGGTCTGCCGTGGGGTCCTCGAGGCCGCCTCCCGAGAGGGGTGAAGTGGGCGAGGGCGTCGCTGACCCACCCGCTGGGCCCTCCCTGAGCCAGCGCTGAAGGAGCAGAAGCCAGACCAGGAGGCTGCAGGGGCCGCCCGGGGACGCCATGGGCTCGGCAACGGCCTCAGCGCTCTGCGTGCCCCTGCCCACGAAGTCTCCTGCCTGAGAGCGCAGGGGTGCGCTCTCAGATCCTCACGCCAGACTGTGTCCAGCCAGAACGCTGCCCAGGTCCGAGGGGTAAGGGTACATCTGAGGAGACTGTCCTTGCTAGGGACCTTCCAATTTAACGTCGGCTCTAAAAGGCGGGTGCTTTCTGACGCCCCTGCCCTTCTTGGTCTGGTACCTGGCCTGGAGCTGGTGAGGATGGGCAGTCTGGGAACTAGCTGAGGAGCCTTAATTCTCCATAACGGTTCCTCAAGGCAGGGCTTCATTCACCAAACCTAGATTTGGGGGGAGGGGAACTACAGATGAAGTGGGTGTGGGTTGGACAAAGGAGCTGGCTGCTATGCAATTTCAGTCGCGGGGATGCCTGTAAAAATGAGCCACCACCAAAGATACCCGCAGGTCAATCCATTCTTATGAGCTCTATGCCCTGATGTCTATTTGTCTTTGTTGCATAAGTGCTTCCACCAGGCCTCTGCCTCTCTGGGTTTCATCACCCCTGTTGAAGTCAGGGGAAAACAATAACAACTGTTGAGCTGCAGTGTACTTCCCACTTTCCCAGCCAAGAGAGCACAGCCAGTTACAGTGTTTTTCGAGGATATGGGTGTTCCCCTCACAATTTATTTTTCAATGTCTTGATGAAGGGGTTATTCTCTAAAGCCCTCTCTCTTTGCATTCCTTTCTCCACATTAGGCCAAGGGATTTCTGACATATCAATTTCCTTTAGTGTGGTCCACTATTGCGATCAGGTTTAAAACAACCCAGTAAACATGTAGAATCATTCCCACCTGCCTGAACCAGCAAACTGAATTCCAAATTTCTAGCAAGTGTACTGTTGATAAATTTGGGACCAAGCCTTCCCAATCAAGAATCCTTTGAATCCCATCCTATATATATACCCCTTGTTCCTTCCAATGTAGATCAGCAAAATCTTGCAGTTCTTTTTGTAAGGAAGCCTTCTACCCCTGGGTTATACTTTGCACCTGTCCTAGAGCATGCTGGGATCTTACTCTAGTTATTAGGTCTAGAGGCAGTGAAGACTGGGTGATTCAGGCAGAGAATTGCTATGCCCTTATAATGTAATTTACTCACATGAAGTCATTGCAGTGTCTCTAAGGTGGAGAGGGCCGGCCTTACCAAATGGCAGGAGGCGCTGTTTCTGTTAGCAAGAGTGGTTCGACGTGGCTGAGGGTAAGGGAGTCCTAAATCTATCCAAATGTATTCCCATGTAAATTTTCAGGGTCTCACTCCCAATCAATGCCCTAACTTTTTTGTAAGAGTTCTGATGAAGCTCTTAATTCAATTTATGTTGAAATTCAGCGAGCCAAAAGATCAGATACTACATCTTATTATCAACTACATCAACCACATCAACCCTGCAGTTAAAAGGCATATGAAAATATTTTAGGGAAGTCGTGGAAGTTTTTAAACTGAGAAGTTAAGATTGTAAGCCTTGGGGCTTCCCTGGTGACACAGTGGTTGGGAGTCCGCCTGCCAGTGCAGGGTACACGGGTTCGAGCCCTGGTCTGGGAAGATCCCACATGCCGTGGAGCAGCGGGGCCCGTGCGCCACAACTACTGAGCCTGTGCTCTAGAGCCCGTGAGCCGCAACTACTGAGCCCGCGCACTGCAACTACTGAAGCCCATGTGCCTAGAGCCTGTGCTCCACAGCAGGGGGGGCTGCCGCAGTGAGAAGCCCACGTACTGCAGCAAAGAGTGGCCCCCGCTCGCTGCAACTGGGGAAAGCCCGCACGCAGCACCGGAGACCCAACACAGCCATCAATAAATTAATTAATTAATTTTTTAAAAATTGTAAGCCTTAATTACAGTGCAGTCTTTGGAGAGGTAAGCAGGAATCACTATGGGAAAGGTATGAAGTCTGGCCTGGGTCCTTCTATTCTGTTTCCTCTCGCCCTGTGCTGCCAAAGAAGGAGGAGAAGGAGGAGGAAGAGGAGCAGATGCTGCCTTATGCAACTAGGGGAAGGGCACAAAACTGTAATTTTCAGGACACAGTTTAAAGCCTACTGTAGCTGGGTGAAGAGAACATAAAATAACCTCTATCCCTGGGGGAGGAGCAGGAAACTCTCCTGGACCAGACTCATAGAGATCTCCTATACTGCGAGAGGGTCAAGGTCACTGAGAAGGCCTCTTCTCTGAGAGCCAAGAATATAGCACCTGCCTAAGAGGGAGGCTGAATCAGGACAACAAAGAATGCCCCGCCTCCTCCCTCCACTAGCAAGTGTCCAGGAACAAGTAACAGCAGTCTATTGCTAGAAGAGAGAGTAAAAGCACGGAGAGACATCTTCTGTGAGACACAGGCACAAAGAGAGGGCAGATAGGTGAGAGTGGAGAAGACACTGAGAAAAACTCTCCAACAAATCAGCTACCACTCTAAGCAAAAAATAACACTAGAAGAGTTTGAAGCCTGCTGCATATTGAGGGTAACCATAGCAACAACAAAAATCAGAGACAACCAGGACACAATTACCTCAACACTCCCCACTAAAGAAAAGACATACCCATTTCTGGACATAAATAGTATTGCTTAAGTCTCTACTATTCTACACAAGATGGCTAACTTTCAACCAAAAATGACAAGACACACAATAAAACAAACAAACAAAAAATAAACAACACTCT